TCCCAAGGTAAGACGTTTTGATGTCTTACCTGGGATCAGACACCTGCAAGGAGATTCCCACACCCTCCTTAAATAGAAGATATTCCCTTACACGATGGAGGCAGCAACGCCCGACACGTTGACACGGGCCCGCCCTGTGGCGATCGCCCAAGCAGAGGATCTCACTCCTCCCAAGAAGAGTTGACCCTCCACACCAACCCACAAGGTAAGAACTCCCACCTCTTCTATAAGTACTGCCCAGATGACCGTAAGTCAGGTATCACTATTCCCCCCTTTTTACTGTATCACCATCACATCACACACCACATCCTACTTAGTCCATTCATTGGGGCTTGGCTGGTTAGCTTGGTCTTTACCTGTGCTAATCACCATACCCATACAGAGATTTAGCTCCCTCACAGGAGACATAGTGGGTTGAAAGAGGCCTACAGTACGATACAGTACAACTTTATTCATCATCCTCTGGCATTTAGGCCCAGAGTTTTTGAGCCCGAAGGGCATTACATTGTAGCAGTAATTGGCCCTTTCAGTAATGAAGGCTGCTTTTTCTTGATCTTCTAGGTACATTGGGATCTTATTGTATCTGAAATAAGCATCCATGAAAGATAACAATTGGAATTCAGCCGAGTTGTCCACTAGCTGGTCTATGTTGGGCATATGATAAGAGTCCTTCGGACATACTTTATTTAGGTCTGTGTAATTCGTGTAGACCCTTCATTTTCCATTAGGCTTTTTCTCCATAACGATGTTGGCGAGCCAAGCCGTATATTGGACTTCACGTATGAACCCGACATCTAGTAACTCCTTAACATGCTCTTCTAAGACCTAGTTCCTTTCTGGCCCTAGTTTCCTTTTCTTTTGTGCTACTGGCGTTGATCTGGGATAAATTGCTAACTTATGGCAGCAAAATGTTGGATCAATGCTTGGAATCTCGGATGACTTCCATGCGAAGACATCTGTGTTACTTTTAAGGAATTGAATTAATTCTTCTTTGACACTGGGATTAATGGTCTTACCAATTTCGGTAAATGACCAGGTTCTTCCCCCAACACAAGGTCTTCCAATTCCCCATCTGGTTCTGGTCTGGGGATCGCTTCTTCCCTCATATCCAATTCAACCATATTGACTAGTTTACTTGAATGATGAGGGGCTGCCTTTTTGTCAGCTCTATCTCCAGGACGAATCCGAGGTGGACTCAAGTGTCCATCTTCGTTTCCTTTGATGGCATCAAAGTAGCACTCTCTTGATTCTTTTTTATCCCCATGAATAGTGATGACTTCATTCTTGTTTCTTACCATCTTTATCTTTTGATGCTTCGTGGAGACCAGCATGTCCCATTTATGTAAGGTTGTTCTCCCAAGTATAATGTTATATGGAGAGGGGAAGTCGGCCACAATGAACCTTACGCGTTCTGACTTGAATGCTTCTTTTGTTCCCAGGGTCAACCTGAGGTCTATGCAGCCTTTAGGATATGTGTTTTCTCCATTAAAAGCTATCAGGGTTGTCTTACAAGGTTTAAGATCTTCCATGTCCAGGTTCATCTTTTTGAAGGCCTCCCATAATATGATGTCGGCACTGCTGCCTGAATCTATGAAGATCTTTTTAACCCAGAAATTAACCAAGGTTCCAATGATAAACATGCCATCAACGTGCCCTGGGATGATCCCTTGCATATCCTCCCTTGTGAAGTAGAGTAAATGGGGATATGGCTTACTGGGATCCTCGTTAAATTTTGGACGTTCTCTGATCCGGTCTCTATCATCCGTGATTCTCCCCCGGGAATCCTTCTTTTTATTGCCAACTTGTTCTTTTTCTCTCAGGGCTGGGCTTCTCCTTCTTGAACTTACCTTTTTGTTCTCTTCACCCAGCGCATTCGCTATTTCCATTTGTTCGAGTTTCAGATACTTCTTTGACCGGGTTCTGAATTCCTCCACCATTCTCACAGGATCTTTATAGAATGATTTTGCCAGTCTAGATGATCCATCCAACCCGGCTACAATGAGGTGGACATGGACGTTTTCCTGCAATCCCGATACCTGCAAGGCTACATCTTTAAACCGGTTCAGGTACCTCTGGAGGTGTTTCTCCAGGTTGCTATCGTATCTTTCCGAGCACAAACTCGGACTTTGGGTGTTTTTTGCTTGTTGCAAAATTCAGCAGGAACTTCTCTCCAAATTCTTCAAAAGATCTAATGGAGTTAGCAGGTAAGGTTTAGAACCATGCCTATGCAGCCCCAGTTAGGGTTGTAGCAAATATCTGGGATATGATTAGTTCATCAATTCCACGGATATACATATCCTTGTCGAATGCATCTATATGGACCTGAGGGTCCTGGCTTCCATCGTACTTCGGCAGGTGTGCCGAATCAAATTCCTCGAAGAATGGAGCATTTAATATTTCGCCAGTAAATGAGTTGTTATTGTATCGCCCCTTACTGTACTTTCTTCTGTAAGCATCGGGTTCCACGCGCCCTCTAACTGGTTAATCATCTTGATTAAGATGTGTCCCATCTCTGTTTCTCTGCATATTTCCACTTGTTGAAGGATTCTGGGCCAGAGGTTGCGTGTTTACATTCTGGTTGTTCATCCCATGCTTCCCGAGTTTGGGTCCACAGTAGTTCCCGCATTTTTCCTTCCCTAGTTTTCAGCCTCTGAAACCCAGATTTGATCATCCGGGTTGTGATCCCTATCGCGGCCATTACCATCTCGGCCTTGGACCCCTTCTGATCCTGGTCCTCTCAGCCCCAATAATCCTTGCTCCAAATCTTGCATCCTCCTCGCGTTATCCTCTTGAAATCTTCTCACTGTTGAAGGTTGTTACGATTTTCCATATCTTCCATCCATCGCAAGATTACGAGGAATGCATTTTGAGCAAGGCGGGAATCAGGATCTGCAACGCGGGCAGCAACGTCCGTCGGGTTTTGAGGAAGAGGGTTATTCGGAGCTGGATCTGCAACTCGGTTGCGAGGGACTGGCGTAGAGGCTGTGTCTGAAACATCCTCGCTAACATGGACCGCGTCAAAGTCCACCCCGTTTTTCGGTTGGTTTTGAGGTTGGCTCACTTCTTCCAAAACTGGATCAAGCGGCTGATTAGGAGGCTGTGGCTGCTAGCTATTGCTCCTTGTACGGACTGCCATCCCTAGTCAGATTGGTGGGATTATCGAACTTTGTCGTTCCCCACAGACGACGCCAGTGTTCTGTCTTGGAGACATAGATGTCTAGGCCAGTGCGCTAGTATATTGATCTTGGATCTAGTGCCCTCTCCAAGGTATCTATGACGTAGATACCCTTGAGTCAAGCAGATCATTGTGCACAATGAAGCAGTAATGGCTTTGCCAAAAGGGGGTGTGTGTGCGCACAGTGACAACATAACAGTAAGAGAGAGTGTGCGAACTATAGGTTTTACCCTCATTTATAGGGTTTACCTGTGGGTAGTAAATTATGGACCTTTAGTTCCTCTGATGATGGCCCAGATCCATCTGTCACGCTGTCGTATTTGGATTGGTATCCTTGATGAATATCTTTCCATATTCATACATGATTTAAATTTTAGATTGTCCCTTGTTGGGCCTGTTCGTCAATGGGCCCCTTATATGGGTCCATAACAATAACATTTATAAACACAAATATTGTTGATTGTTATGAAATAAATAAATTAATAAAACTTTTATTCTAATTGAATGACTCATTGGGCTTTGTTTAGTTGCTTTCCTTTTCTTCATGTTCTTACCAATTGACCACGGGAAAACTTTTCAATGGCTCTCGTAATGGTTTTTATTTTATTTTTACCTTATCAAATGAGAGAAAACATTTTCTTCTTTTCTCTCCACTCAATCTTTGTGTACTTCTTTTCTTTTAAACAAAACGAAGCATTAGGGCCAGTTTCAATAAATACACTACAATTGCTATCAAAAGAATTTTCAACTTTTCGTATTTTTTTATATATATAACTACCCTAATTATCTAGAGGTAACTTTTCCTACTTTAACTTTATGGAGCATTTGGTAGCGAAGAAATTTTTTTTTTATTCGAGAATCTCGGGTTTCAGGAATATGGTGAGAAAATGAGTTTATCGGAAATATTATCAAAAAGTTGTTTGGTAGGCTAAAATATTTCTCGGAGTGTTGGGTTAATTTTTCTAGTACTATGTTTAGTTGTGTTAAATTTTTCTTACCACTTGATGATATTCTTCAATGATATTTTAAAAAAAAGTTACACATAAAATAAAATTTTGGGAAAATCAAATTCCTAATTTGTTTTTAAAAAAAATCTTATACTAAATATGGATAAATAAGATTATCACATTTAATTTTTCGAAAATTTAAAAAAAAAAAAAAAAAAAACCTTTTACCAAATGCTTCCTTAATATAACTCTTCCCAAATAGTCAGAACATGTATTTATGTAAGAAAAACAAAAAAGAAAAGAAAAGAAAGAGAGTCGCATTTAAGGTCTACTATTTCAGGGGGTCTCAAAGTATTTTTATTTTTTTTTTAATTATTTTTACCCCTTTTTTAGTGCCTTATGCATTTAAGGTTGACTATTTTTTCCTCTCAATTCTCTCTATTAATTATCTCTCAAACTAATTAAAGCGTTAGACCAAATTTATAATTTGAATAATTGATTCAGTTAGGTCAAATTTATTATATCTCAAGCATCATTCCTTCATAAAACTAATTTCAAGAATGGCCTTCTTGATGTCTCATATTTAACTCTCACCCTCTCGATAAACATTTTTTAAATTTGGAAAACAAGAAGGTTCGAGAGCTCATTTCCATAACAAACACATAATGTAACATTAACGATAATTAACTGTATAACCGCAACGTTAACTTTTTTGAATTGTTATTCTCCAAATCCTAATTCGATACTGAACATAAAAACATTAAATAGTATTATATATATAATTGACCACTGAACAAACAACACATAACACTCTGAGTCTTATTTCCTTTCTTTCCAAAAAAAGCTCTTCAGTCTTCACCGTAGCCAAACCACCGCCAATGGCCATCGTCCGCCCTCGCCTCAACTTCAATCTCCACCTCAAACTCCCAGAAACCTCTGAGATACGCCCGTGCTTCACTCTTCCCATCCTACCCATCACCACCAAATCTTCCGGCGGTGATGCCATTGCTCTTGATGACGTTGAGAAACTCGCCGTCCTCGGCCACGGCAGCGGCGGCACCGTCTACAAGGTCCGCCACAAAAAGACTTGTGTGATCTACGCCCTCAAGGTCATCCACTGTGAATCCGATGCAGCCGCACGCAGCCGCGTCATCTCTGAGATAAACATCCTCGCTGCCGCCGACTGCCCCTACATTGTCCGGTACCATGGATCCTCCGTGCAACCCTTTGGCGATGTCTCAATCGTAATGGAATACATGGACTCAGGCACGCTCGAAACAGCCCTCAAATCCGGCGGTGCATTCTCCGAACGGCGACTCTCTGCCGTGGCACGTGACGTTCTCAACGGCATCGCGTATATCCACGCGCGCAACGTGGCTCACCGTGACCTGAAGCCCGCAAATATTCTCATGAATTCAAACAATGAGATCAAGATTGCGGATTTCGGAGTCAGCAAGCAGCACGTGTCAGCGTTCACGTGCAATACTTTCGTGGGCACGTGCGCCTACATGAGTCCGGAGCGGCTTAACCCGAATGGTGATGGCGGGAACTATAACGGTTATGCTGCTGATATATGGAGCTTCGGTTTGACCCTCTTTGAACTCTATGTGGGTCACTACCCTTTTCTTCACCCGGGTCAGACACCCACCTGGACCAACCTCATTTTCGCGATTTGCTTCAGTGACCCACCATCCCTGCCGGAGACTGCATCGCCGGAGTTTCGCAGCTTTATGGAGTGTTGCCTCAACAAAGAGTCCGGTGAAAGGTGGACGGCTACTCAGCTCTTGACCCACCCATTTGTATTTGTGTGTCAAGATCCGGAAACTTGTTAATTTGATCGACCCGATATTTTTGTTTGAATCGGGTCGGGTCTGTTAGTTTCAGTTGGGATGAGCTCTGTTTGTGCAGGGGAATTTCTAGTTATTACCCTTTTTTTAGTTGCTGTACATTCTCACTGGATTCTCTTCTTTCCTTTTCTTTTCTTTTTTTCTTTTTCTTTTTCTTTTTTTTGGATTTGGAAAATCATTCCTTTTGTTTTGTATATTGTTCTCTGTAGTGTTTGGAGTATTCAAAATTCTGCCGAAAACAAAATTGCTGCTGAATAAAACGAATGATTACCTTACCATCAATTCAATTTTGTCTTGCTGTTTTAATTTTTATGAACACGTAATTAAGTCGCAATTATTATGCAGATTATTTATTTTATCTTATTTCATAGATATTGGGAATCATCAAATTTCGTAAGAGGTACTAATGTGAGTTCATATTTTCTCATGTGTGTCTCTATATCTATATGTAATTTTTTTTTTTCTTAACAATGTTCCTGCATATTATGTTGGAGAAATATTATGTTGATGTTGGGATGAAAAATGTTATGCAAACATACATTTAGACGGTTAAAATTTGACTTGGAATGAACTGATATGTTCAAGGGCTCCTAATGGTAGGATGGTGTTTATCCAACAAAGAATGTTGATTAGTCTTAGCTGAAAAATTATATGGATTAATCATCAAAGTATGCCTTAACTTCAATGAAGAAAATGGAGTGGAAATGAAAATGAGAGGAGGCATGTATGTCCAAATGAAGGTAGGTGTGTGGAAGTTGGAAGGTGTAATATTCTAAAATAATAATTGTATAAAAATAATAAAGAAATAAATAAATATATATATAATAAAATAACAAAAATGATAAAGAAATAAATAAATAAATATATGTATAAAATAAAATAATAATAATGACAAAATAACATATATATACATATATATATATATATATATATTAAAGTATTAAATAATTAAAATAATATAATAGTAATAATAAATAAAATAAAATAAAATAAAATGTTGATTAGTCACCTTGGGGAGCACCAGTGCTCTTTGTCAAGAAAAAAGATGGAAGTATGAGATTGTGTGTGGATTATAGGCAATTAAATAAAGTCACCATTAAAAATAAATACCCTTTGCCCAGAATAGATGACCTTTTAGATCAGTTGAGATGAGCCACAATATTTTGAAAAAATAGATTTAAGGTCAGGATATCATCAAATTAGGATTAAAACTGAAGACATTCCAAAAACAGCCTTTAGGACTAGATATGGACATTATGAGTATCTAGTGATGCCTTTTGGATTGACAAATGCTCCAGCTGTATTTATGGATTATATGAATAGGATTTTTAGACCTTACCTATATCAATTTGTAGCAGTGTTTATAGATGATATTTTAATATATTCCAGGAATAAAGAGGTGCACAAGGAGCATTTAAGGATAATATTACAAATTTTGAAAGATAAGCAATTGTATGCCAAACTTTCAAAATGTAAATTCTGGATGGAAGAAGTTAAATTCTTAGGACAAGTTATATCAAAAGAAGGTGTGACAGTTGATCCTAGTAAAATTCAGACTGTAGTACACTGGGAGAGACCTAAGACTATCACTGAAATCAGGAGTTTCCTAGGATTAGCAGGATATTATAGAAAATTTATTAAGGGGGCGTTTGGTTGAGGAAATTTTTTTGGAATAGTAGGGAAATGTAATAGATAGAGAAATGATTGGAAAGATAGATAAAGTGAGATAGGTAGAAAAATGTAAAAAAAAGTTGTTTGGTGGGGAAAAACTTTACTGGGAAAATTAGGTAAATTTTAGGGTATGTATGTTTGGTTGGAGGTGAGAAATAGATGGGAAAACAATGTTAAATTACTAAAATAACCCTGATTTTAAAATTTAAAAAAAGACCACAGCTGTCAAATTTGCTTCTACACAAGGGTATATTGGTTACACAAAATTTGCTTTAGCCGTGGTTTTTCAAAAAACCACATACGAAACAGCTTTCCAAACAGTGGACAAAGCGTCTTTTTCCTAACAATTTCTCAAAACCCATGCATTTTGGATCACTAGTTTTTTATCTGAATCCATCTAACCAAACATGTCTTTTTTTGAATCCACACGCCACATGCCAAGGAAAATTGGAAAAAGATGCTTTCCAAACACCACTTAAAGGATTTTCACAATTAGTATTACCTTTAACTAGGTTGACTAGAAAGGGAATCCCTTTTGTTTGGACACAAGAATGTGAAGATTGTTTCCAAGATTTGAAGAATAAGTTAACATCTGCACCAATTTTAATAACTCCCGATCCCTTAGGAAAATTTGAAGTTTATAGTGATGCATCTAGAAAGGGGTTAGGTTGTGTTTTAATGCAAAAAAGAAAAGTTGTAGCTTATGGGTCAAGACAGTTAAGGCCTTATGAGGAAAATTATCTCACTCATGATTTAGAATTGGCTGCAGTAGTTTTTGCACTCAAGATTTGGAGGCATTATTTATATGGAGTTAAATTTGAAGTTTTTAGTGATCATAAGAGTCTTAAATATTTGTTTGATCATAAAGAGTTGAATATGAGGCAAAGGAGATGGATGGAATTTTTGAAAGATTATGATTTTGAACTAAAATACCATCCAGGAAAAGCAAATGTGGTGGCTGATGCCTTAAGTAGAAAATCTCTTCATATGTCATATTTAATGATCAAAGAAATGGAATTATTAGAAAAAATTTGAGACATTAGATTATCTGTAACTGTATTGCCTCGAAGTTTATGTAATAGTGAAATAAGGATTGAAAATGAGTTAGTAAATAAAGTTAAAGAAGCTCAGCAGGAGGATTTTAGTTTAGAAAAATTATTGGAGCAGGAAGGATTTACCAAAGAAGATGATGGTTTAGTAAAATTTTAAGGAAGGATTGTTGTACCTAGGAAGGAAGAATTGATGAAAGAAATTTTAAATGAAGCACATAGCAGTAAATTTACAATTCATCCTAGTTCTACTAAAATGTATCAAGATTTGAAAAAGATATTTTGGTGGCCAGGAATGAAAAAGGATATTGCTGAATATGTTTCAGAATGTTTGGTTTGTCAAAAGATAAAAATTGAACATCAAAAACCCTCAGGATTACTTCAACCATTAGACATACCAGAATGGAAGTGGGAAAGTGTAGCAACTGACTCTGTAATGGGATTACCAAGAACTCAGGAAGGATATGATGCAATTTGGGTAATCATTGATCGATTAACCAAATCTGCTCATTTTCTACCAATCAAAGCTCAATACAATATTGAGAGATTAGCTCAGCTGTATATAAAAGAAATTGTCAAACTTCATGGTATACCTTTAAGTATTGTGTCAGATAGAGACCCTAGATTTACTTCTAGATTTTGGGGATCTTTGCAGCAAGCATTCGGAACCAAGTTAAGACTTAGTACCGCATACCATCCTCAAACTGATAGTTAAACTGAAAGAACCATTCAAACTTTAGAGGACATGTTGAGTGTAACGCCCGACCACTTGCAAGAATCAATGACTGTCCCTACACACTAACACAAGACTTTTCAGCGTGCTTTGTCCTCACTCGCAAATTTCCCGGGAAAACTTCCTAGGAGGTCACACATCCCAGAATTGCTCCAAGTCAAGCACGCTTAACTGTGGAGTTCTTCCGATCCGGGCTACCGAAAAGTAGATGCATCTTGTTAGTATAGGTAGTACCAATTAATTCTTATAAGTCATTCCTAACTGTACCGTCCCATACCAGCACAGTCTCTGGAATCCATCTCTTTTGGGTGTTGATTCGATTCATTCATGAACCCCCAAGCTGCAAGATTTGGCATGAGTCGCTCATTGTCCGTGCCTTTCGCACCGGCGATCACTCCCTGCCCTTGCCAGCTCTTGGGATGTTACATGTCCACCAGCTTCTGCCTAGTTCGTCCTCGAACCACACCGTACTGGAAGAGAGGCCCGGCTCTGATACCATTTGTATGTAACAGCCCGTTGTACACCGGTATTGTTAACATTAATTATGATATTAAGCGCAGTTACAATCACAGCAATTCATTTATAAAAATGCGAATAAACTTTTTCCGATTATTACGCGAGCATTTAAAACAATAAAACGCGTAATAATTAAAAGCTGTGACTATAACTGTTGACTCTTGCGGAATATTTATTTTCTATTTGTACATTACACTTTACTCAATATAAGTTACTAAGGGGTTCCCATAAACCCACTTAGCCAATTATTAAACTGTACGTTTTTACCCTTTCGAACATGGTTCACTCATTAATTTTTTGCGAATACACCGTAGGCCTTCTTCTCAAATTATATTTTTTTCTTACTTAATTCCCTTTTCAACAAGCTATCACACGCTCAATTCGGAGCTCATTTGCTCCGGTTATCGCCGTTTGAAGTTGGATAAGCAAAACAGTCAACCAACCCCAAAACAGCTCAAAACCTCTCTCATTCTCTGAATTACTGCACTGAATCCACAAATCCAATTGCCCTCAAATTTTTACACCATAAACTAGACACCTCAATCTTCGATTTGATATATCATACGCTTAATTTGACGGAGAAACGAAGCGGGAATTAATTTCCCAAAACTGGTCCAGAACTGCCACATGTGCAGTAGGCACATGAGAAGTCTACGTTCCTCCATTTTTTTTAGGTCGAAGACCAACCCAGATTTTTCCCAAATTATGACACAAGGTAAAGGACATCTCAACCTTCAAAATGGCGTATGGAACGTCCCTATTGGAACTATGTGGAGGGAGATATGCTCTCCTGAAATTCGTCCAAATATGCCAATTCTACAGAAAATTCGTTAGAGTTTCCTTTGTTTTTCCTTAAAATCCCCAATTTGTACAAGCTCATTTATGCCGCAAATATACCTAATAATCACATAATAATACAGTAATAATCCAATGGGTGGCACACACAAGGACCAACAACACCTTGGGGCACTTACAACTCAATCCAGTTTATAGTTATTAGACACATAGCTCACTTT